CAGGGAGGTGCCAGTCTCATCCTCTTATCTCTCCCTCTCGCCTCAGGAGATGAAAGAAAATCTTTTTCTCCCTGAGTCTGGCCTTCATAATTCCATTTCATCACACTTTCATCATTTTACTGTACACCTCAAATCCTATTGCTACCCCTGTTTCTGGATGATTGGAAAATCATGATCATAGGTAATTAAAACAAGCCATTTGCTCAAACCTCTGCCCATTAATGAATGATACAAGCCATGTTTCTTGGTCTGAGAGTTCCATCATCTTTGCTTTTGCAGTTTAACTGCAGCTGATACTTCTTGCAGATGGGGGATGAAGAAAGAAGTGGCCTCTTTAGTCCTGTTGGTGATAGTGATAGTACTTTATCACCATCTTTATACAGTGCAATAGCACTACTGTATGCCCACTTACAAAGTTTGATGGATGAACTTCTGTTTTACTCAAGTGATTGACCATGACATTTATACAGAATTTAAACAAAAATAGAGCAATAATGTAACCTCATTTAACTCCAATTCTGGTGGAGACCAAGTGAGAACTGACTTGCTACATTACACCTTAAGGTTAGTGTTATTCTACAGCAACTATTTCAAGTGTACTTTTTAGTGCCTCTCATCTATGGAGAATTTCATTTTGGTCTACTTTGGGCAGTTTTAAAAGACTGGGTGTTTCAAATATTGAAACTCCAAATGAGGTGATCTGAAATCTCACCCAACCCTTTTTCATCCTAATAACTATTGCTGACAAAGTAGGATGTTCAGAAGTTGCGTCAAGGCTCAGAATGATCTTGAGTTTACTGCTGGAGATAAGAAGACACAACAATTCTGTAATTAATCATTATCAGGCATAAATTAGCTCAATAATAAAATTCCATTCTTAATGCATATTAGAGCAAAGAGCATTGAAGAAACATACATAAATACATACATAATACTGTTCTTATATAAGTAAACATATATTTGATTACAAACTAACTAGAGCTAGTTTGGTCTAGTGGTTAAGGCACCAGGTTAGAAACCAGGAGACTGTGAGTTCTAGTCCCGCCTTAGGCATGAAAGCCGGTTGGGTGACTTTGGGCCAGTCATCCTCAGCCCAACTCACCTCCCAGGGTTGTTGCAGGGAAAATAGGAGGAGGAAGGAGTATTAGGTATGTTCGCAGCCTTGAGTTATTTGTAAAAATATCAAAGGTGGGATTAAAAAATCTAACCCCCCCCCCAACCCAAGCTCTTATTCCAACTTGCCAGTTTCATTTGCAATGATCTGTAGCATCAGACTTTCATTGTAATACACAGAATTTGCTGCTCTATTCCAAAATTTGAATGCTGGTTTTGAAGTAGGAAGAGGTTTTTCTCTGTAGTTTTTTTTTTTTTCCTTTCCAGTTTCTCCTAATGCTAAATTTCCTCTGCTCAGACCATAGTTGCTATTTTCTTACAGCTTTGATTCTTCTTTAGTTTATTCTGGCTCTTCTTCTTGTAATCTCAGTCTCAATCTCTTTAACAATTATGTTAAATTCATATATTTTATTGCTAGCAATTAGTACAGTAATTGATCATAAAATGAAATTACTGTTTGGGCTATTAGCATGTAGTGTCAGCTACCAAATCCAAACTGAGTTCCAAATGTGGCTGTTATGAGACCTTTTATCTAAGACCTTATCATAAGTGGATTAACTGGGTCTTCTCCTCTGTTCCCTACTGGTTCCCCTTCCTCTAAGTATTATAACTCTTCACTATTCCAGTCTAAGACAGCATATACATTTGGTGATAGAAAAGTATGTTACTCCCTCCCAGTTTTTTGTGGAACAGCAAGTCCTGTTTTTAGTTCAGGGCATTTGGAAGTTGTCTGCAGCTCTGACCTACAACTCTTTTTTGGTTTATTCTTGCTTTTTATTACTTATCTTCAGGCTGTTATTGTTTGTATGTTCCATCTTTGTTTGGGTTCCTTATTTCCTTCTCTCCCATACCTTACAACAACAACAAGTATGGAATAATATGCTATTAATAATTTGAATTCAGATAGATAAGACATGCAACTCAAAAATTGTTTTTTCAGCTTCCTGTCATCTTTCCTCCCCCAGTTAATTCTTTGACAGTTAAAATACAAGAAACACATTTCTGCCAATCTTTAGAGCTAGGGTTACCCAAGATATCACAACTTCTCGGCTTTAGAGATGGAAGAGGCAGACCTGATGGGTTGTCAACTTGGACAGCTGGCAAGTAATCATACAACTGAAGGCAGCTCCCAGAGACAGTGAGCCACAGCCAACGGGGGCTGATCTATTGAGAGGCCAGATCCTGACAGAGTGCCAAGCCCAAGAACACTCCAGCAGCAATGGAGGGCAGGGCAGAGGATGGGAACTCCCCTATTTAAGTCATGGCAGCAGTTTAGGCAATGTAAGAGCAGCCATTGTGCTCTCTCGTTAGGAACAACTTCCTGCTTTAGAGCTGTGTTCCTGTGGCACCTGCTCTGAATTCCTCTTGAGTGGTGCTTTGTCTTTGGATCCTTGGTGTGACTCTGACCAGTTTGTGGAACTCTGTCTCTGAACCTTCAGACTACACTCTTCTCATTGCCTCTAAATGCCTCCTAATAGAGGCTTGCAGGATTGTTCAGCAAAACTCTTTGAACTCAGCAGGCCTTAATTGTGCTCTGTTGAAATACTTGTCTTAACACAAGCTGTCAAAAGGTTTACAACATGGCAACACAGACTTTCAGACTTGTACTTGCCTTGTTTTTTTGTTTGCACTGGCTTGCATAGGAGACCGAACTGTATGCGTGTGTAGGGAGCAGTTTAATTGGTTCTTCAACAGCAGAGAAGTAAATTAACGGGGTGCTTTGGTGTGGGCCTGAAAAAAATGATGCTGTTGTAAGGAGGCTGATTATTAAAGTTAGTATCACTCTTAAAGCAGCATCAGCATCTTTTTTCAAGTTTGTGTGGAAAAAGTTGGGCTGGTTTAATAAATAGCAGAGGAGGCTGTACTTGTGTGAGATCCAAAGCATTTCTCCTGGCTCGTTTTTGAAGGATGCACAGCCTAAAAATCATGATTATCTGTAACCTCATTGCTCTTAAAGACATGGATCTGTTGAAAACAATCTGTAGTAAAGGCAATATCTGTATAGTGTTTGATAAATATTATTTTATTAATTTAACCAATTTAATAAAAAGAAGTCTTCAGTCAGTGGATTCTGACAAACCTATGTCCTTACAGAGAAAAAGAGTTTTACTTCACTTAAAAGTCGAACAATTAAGAGAACATAATTGGGACACAGGCAACATTTTTAGTAAAAATAGTCATACTCAACTTATATAATGATTAAAGGTCTGCTGCAAAGATGCATATTTTATTAAGACACTGATTACCATAAATACCTTTCATAGTATTTCATGCTAGAATTGTAAAATCCTAGACAAAATACAAGAAACTTTTCTGTGTTTCTCCAGAGAAAGTTGACTTTTGATTATTTCTCTAATTTTTTATCTTTTCACCCTAGAACTTTTAGCATATATTGCTATCACTTTCTTTACTTCTCCATACTAGATGGGTTGGATATTTAAACTGTATGCAGAACAGTTGCCTAAAGAGTAATGGAAATGACTTTCACATTAGTAGATGGCATAAAAGACAATGTAAGTAGTACCTCTGCTTTGAAGATAGTGATAGTCTCCTAAATCAAAAAATGTTGGACCCTCTTAAATTATTTCTGAACACCTTGAAGCTCTTCTTTTCTTTACATCATTTCTAGGATAATTAAGTGACCAAGCCAAACATGATGAAAGTAGAAACATATAATTGGTCTAATATTAATTTATTTTTTCAGTGAATGATTTACTCTCTTATATATACTCTTGTACCGTATTCCAGATCTTCTGCACTACCCTGGTTCACAGACTGGTTTGCTATTGTTAAAGAGGATAGGTCTTCAGTAATATAGAAGGCCATTCTACTTGCTTAGCAGATAATGGGAGAAGCATGGGTAAGAATTTGGCCTATTCAGAAGCAAGTACTAACAGTAGAGTATAGGCAGAAGTAAACACAGATTGTCCAGGTAGCAAGCTGAACTAGAAGACAAACTCCCATCACTGAATCTTCAATGTAAGCAGTCTTAATCCATCCATTTGAACCATCAGTTAGTAAGGTAATCTGAATTTGCTCTTTAACTCCATTATTCAGAACTTTTTTTTCTAAGGGTGTTAATAAACACTAATCTAAGCAGTTGGAAGAAAAGGAGAATCCTGTTCCAAAATGGGAAGCACAGTTTAAAAATTTAAAGAAAATTAAATGAATACAGAGATGGCTCAGAATCCTTAGGTCAGTTAAAATGTGAAGATTTTTCATATATCAGAAAAATTACCCGTATTAAACATCCAAAAGATTCTTGATTTCAAGGCACAAACAGCTGTTCTAAAATGTTGACTTTCTATTATTGTCCTTCTTCATCAATATGTGGTTTTTTATTAGAAGTACCAACTTGGTTCCACTGGTATCTCACTCTGATTCAGGGCTCTTTCCCGAAGTTTCAACTCCAGGCATTCCACAGTAGGTGGATACGTTTTGAGTTCAAATTTGTTAGCAAACAGGCTTTTGGACATCAGCAGCCATGGCAAGTCACCAGTTCCATAGATACATATGCTTCTGACATAATGACCTGTCAAGGCATAAAATATTAACATTACAATGACATTTTATAGACAGGAGAATTAAGATGCATACTTGCACTAAGGTCTTTGCAGCCTAATCATACTGAAATAAGGAAGTTCTTGCAATTTTACTAGCACTTGAAGAAAATAGAGGCATAGAGCACTGTATAACCATCTTTACTCCTTATTCAGATTCTGTATTGAAAAGGGGTTTTGGAGTGTGTAGGGGCATGCATGTTCAATTTTTATTAGGTTACATGATTCAATTATTTGTTTGTTCAATTTATACTGTTGTCCATTTACCAGGTAATTCTAGGTGGCTCTCAAAAACCAAAAACTGACCCAGGAAGCTGAAGGAAGAGTTCAACCCTGGTTTATTTACTACAGCTAAAGGGCTGCTCCTGGTCCTCTGGACAGACATAGAGTTCCAGCAAACGGGACTACTTTGAAATTGTACTTATGATTTATACTCAAGCAATAAAAAACATACAGACAAAAGAGAAAGTTTCCATTCCAGGCAGGTGTGAACAGAAGAATTGACATATTTTAGCTAACACAGACATTGTGGTTTTCCTGTTTTTCACTAACTAGCGGAAAAAAAACCCTACATGAGCTACTTGGCAATGTCTATTGGCTGCTTTTAAACTTTATTCAAACAGAGACACGTTTTAATGATTATTATATATTATTATATTATATCAACAATTTATATTGATCACTGATTATATACTAGAAAGAACTTCGACCTTTAAAGCCCTACATGGCATGGATCCAGGTTATTTGAGGGACTGCCTCTTCCTGATTACATCAGCCCATCCCATCAGGTCCAGCAGGAGGTCCCATCTGCTGAAGAGTTCCATCTGACAGGACCCAGATGATGCGCCTTTTCTGCTGTGGCTCCTGCAATCTGTAACATCATTCCCCCCGAGGTGAGCAGTCCCATCCCTGTTAGCCTTTTGGGAGGCTCTGAAAACATGGTTCTTCTAGCAACCTTGGGGATCCAATGGGGAGCCTGCGTGATGGTTATACTATGCTTAGGTGGATGCTCTCCCACAATCTTGTTTTTATTTATCTTATTTATCTTGTTTTTATTTATTTTTTTAAGCTTTTTAACAATTGTGATTTTTTTTAACTGTTGGTTGTACACCACCTGGAGTCATGTTTAGTGAGATGGATGGCCGAATAAATGTGTTTAATAAATAAATAAACAAATAAATAAAGACTTAGTTTTGCCTGGTAAGAAATTTTGGCATTATATCATAGGCACAATAGGTTAAAAACATCAAATACAAAGGAAAACTATAAAATATACTACAGCGGTACCTCTAGTTACGAATGCCCCTTCTTACGAATTTTTCAAGATACGACCAGCTCCAGCC